AAATGATCATTCGAGCTTCAGACTGGGTTAGAATAGTTTACAGTAATTTATCTGCTTCCTGCTTAAACAACAGTGCTGATTCTAATAGAGGAAAAGTGTTACATGTTGTGAACATGATCAGGTGTGTATGAAGAGTGTGTGTGCTGGAATGTATAAGCAGTTGTCACACTTCAACAGGACTTTATTGAGAAATTAAGAAGAGGTCAGGTTTGGATTGGTCTGACTGACAGTGAGACAGCGAAGGTCTGGAAATGGGTGGACGGCTCAGCGCTAACCACTAAGTAAGAGACCACTAAACTGAACTCTGATCATGACAGAGTTACTGACTTTTACTACTTTGATAAACACAGTGACACTCTGATTCTCTGTTTCAGGTTCTGGAAATCTGGAGAACCCAAGAGAGCAGATGAACACTGTATAATAATTGGTGAGGGTTCTGATCCTGTAAACAACTGGGCTGATTATTCCTGTAGTAATTTGTTTGTTTGGATCTGTGAGAAGAGAATATTTAAAAGCAGCAGTTATTTATGTTTTAATAACTGTCTGTCTACTAATTAGATTTGACCTGTGTTCTAATTATACCTGTTGATTTATTGATGGTAGTGTAAACAGGGATAATTCTGATGAGAAAACAAAGCCCAGTCTGTTTAAAAGACTGAACTCTCTGTAGAAGATTACAGAAGGCCGACCAACCACTGACCATCTCTGTGTGTTTTGTAATGGATTTGACCAGTTTATATTTCTGCAAAGTACCATGTTACAGCAATAGGAAATCTTTTTGTTTTTTAAATGGCTATAAACCTCAGCCCAGGTGATTACAAGAATTTAAACTATAAATCTTGTTGATGTTTTTTACGGTGTTTATGGTTTAGTTTATAACACCCAATCAACAGTGCTGAATTGCTGCATGTTGTGTTGATGTGTAAATCTTTGTCAAATTGAAAAAGTAACTGCACATTTTACAGGTTAATTTAAAAATTCTGGGTGATGATCTGCCAGAATATACAGTTCTACAGTGAACTGGGCTGAGCCTCAGATCTTTACACACTCAGCCAACTTATTTTCCCATCTGTATGATTTATATAGTGTAAGGGTTTATCTGCTTGTCAATTTCCACTGGGTGCATGATGGGAAATAATCTCAAAACTCTAGTTCCTGTCTTGCAAATAGTGACCTTGCAAGATCCCCAGTAATTGCAAAATCATAGTCTGTGACTGAAAACTGTGACATAGTCTTTAGATGTGAGAGGGTGTCAGACTTGGCAGCATTGGTCTCAGTATATGATTGAAAATACATTTTTTGCCTGAAAATAAAAGATTAAAAAAGTGATAGAAAGTGATAGAAAGCTTCACTTGCATTGTGGATCAGTGATAATCAGTAATCCGTGCTGTCCGTTTTTTAAAGTCACCTTCCCAATCTTGTCACACAACTTTAAACAAAAATAATTAAAAGACTGACAACCCGAGTAAACATAAAATACAGATTTATATGATAACTTTATTTATTAAGGGGGAAAATCTCATTATCCAGCACTAACAGACTAAATAGTAACTCAATCAGCCAGTTAACTAAATTTAGTTGATAGTTGGGAAGAGTTAAGCTAGACACTTCCAGACTTGATTAATTCAGTTTGGTCTTTATTTAAAAAAACATTGCAAATATATATATATATATATATATATGTTTTTTTTATCAACTTCATTGTCTTTTGTAAGAGCGCTTGTTCTGATATTAAAACATATATTCTGATACTGATATGAGGCGTGTCAAAAATTACGCAAACAAACACAGCACTTCTGACACCTGTTCCATGTCGTGGAGAGTTTTTTTGCAACTTGCTGTTTACCACATGCTTGAAATGACTGAATTTAAAGGGATTTTTTTACTGAGCAGGTGGGCCTCTACAGGCACTTGTATGAGACTTCACTATAAACCCTACATATTCACTTCAGGTTTGTGTGCTGTCTATCTTGTCTTCATTGGGGTTGATGTTTTGATTGCCAAGAACAGACGCATGCATTACAGAGACTTGCTGCATTGGTTCTTGGAGTTTATGTTGAGATAGGTGGTGACATGCAACACTGCAGTTATGCTGCCATTGTGGTGCTGCATTGGCCTTGTTTAACCAAACATACATTTGCACCCAGAAGCCCATACCCTGATGATCTGGTACTTGTCAGAACAGACTGCGAGACAGAGTATGAAACTGTGAAAGTATGAACTAGACTGGATTGGAGACTGGACTGCTGACCAGACTGGACTAGACTAGACTGGTGACCAGACCAGACTGGTGACACACTGATGACCAAGCTGTGCCCGTGCATGATCTGCATGCACATGAATAAGACTAGACTCCTGACACCGCTGATTGACTGTTGATCAACCACGCTGTATATGAAAATAAACTCCAGTCAACGCCGAAGCTCCAGTCTCCTGACTCTTTTTGCCGAATTTCTAACAGAGTGTTTATGATGATGATCTCTGGATCGAGGAACTGAACACAGAAGATTTAACAGAGATGGTTGTGGTTTATTATCAAAGTGTGGATGCTGTTAGAGGTCATGACCCCAACACAGACACAGAGGATGCCAACATAAAGACAACCCTACGATCAAAGAAAAAAGGTAAGAAATGCTTTTATACCCATCATTTAGACGTAGTATAGTTATCAAGCAGCATCACTGCACCACCACATACTATTTATCCAATTATTATACTGTATGAAACATTTTCAGGTCAGTGTTGTACTGCAGTTTCCTGTAGAGGACAATTAGTAAGGTCTGTTTTATCTGCGTTCTAAATCCATCTTGATTCTCAGCACACGTTTAGCTTCAAACTGCAAGGCTTTTACCAGTAGAGGTGGAACGTTTCTTCAGCACTGTAGTTCATGAATGGAAAAACAAAGATATGCCTTTTTTGCAGTCTGGTAGCAGCATGTTGCTCTTAACAAGCAGCAGAATCAGAGACTGGAGCAGCAGAAAAATGTACTCACTGCAGGGAAACTAAGTCTCATAATATAGTTAAAATCTCGAATAAATTTAATATGCTGGTGATTTCTGTGATTTATGCCTGATAATGAGCTGGTTGGTGACTGTGCCACATTCAGATATGGCTACCTGCTTGGAGTTACTGTCTATCTAATGCTGTATGGTGTGGTGGGCTACTTTTCATTCTCTGTATTCTCAGGGCTTTTTGTTTCCGAGGTCCTGTATCCACACTGTCCCATGTTCTCTCATTCAAGTTTTCAATCATATTTCCTCAACATGAAAATAAGAGTAAGGTCCAGAGCCAGAACTCTGAGTACTGCTGGTATATTTTATATACTCTGATGTTAAATATTCAGTAAATAATCTGACATTTCATCTTATGTACATGCTGCTTAAGGACAGGTGGAGGCTCTTGCTGGTGCAGACAGGCTTAAGGATCTGGTTGGGAAAACAGGTGGAGGCACTTACTATACAATTGAGGAATGAATTGGATGACAAATATTAGCACAGATGCTTCTTATATCAATGAACAGCTGACAGCCACCCAGTGGCAAGAAAGGACCGTCAGGTATTAAATACCTATTACATCTATATCTTACCTTGTTTGTGCTTCATTTGTTGTTCCTGAAGTGCGACTGATGATTTGGTGCTGCCTCACTTTGTTGGGTTAAACATAATGAGTACAGAGGTCTTTAGGAACAAGCAGCTGGCTTAAGAGCTCCTGATGGGAATGAGGTCCTTTTGCCACATAGTCAAACAGCAGATCCATGAGGTTGTCAACACAGCCTGCAGCTGTTATGAAATATAACGTAATTATTCTATTGATGATCAAAACACAAATGCTAAATGGAAGAATTTATAGTATAGGCTTTAATCACTGACAATTAATTCATTCATTTCTTTACCTCAGTGGATTAACAAATTTATGAGCAGCATCTAATAAATAGATTATACTTGTAAACCAAGTCATCAGGGTCAAGGTCAAGCCCAGGTCTCCTCAGGAAGTTTAAGGTACTAAAATTTTTCAGAAACGGCTTCAAGAGAACTGACCTGTCATGCCACCTTATTGTTATGTACTCTTGCCTGAGTAGCCGCACATTTCATAATAGAAATAATAATGCAGACTTTCATACCTACACAAACAGATATAAGTGAGCTCATGTGCCTGGACAAAGACATCATGCAGGCCCGTTGAATCAGTCTGACATGTCATGTCTCTGTAGTTTTTCACCTAAAAAAGAAAATATTATTATACTAATAATGTCTTATAACACCCGAAAAGAGCCAATTTGGCAAAGTCGAAAAAAAAAATCCTAATACTTCTCACCTAAATATTTCAGTTACAACTGAATCCATGCTGATGGATTGTGATAAGCCGTGTTGATAAGCTGTGTTTCTCTTCGTCAGAGAAAGTGCAAGTTTGGCTGCACAATACGGTAAAAAAACGACAAATGTAGATGACGCCATCTAATAGTTCATTTCCAACTGATGAAAAATGACAAACGTGTCGAGTGGGCTCAACTTTTTCTGTGATTTTCAGTATTAGCTAAAGTAGCCAGCTAGCTAGCTAGCTAAACATATAACACAGTGGAACCAGTGGTACACGATGGCTCGCAAAACTCTTGGCTGATTGTGAGCGCCGTAAACTTCATAAATGTTTACACAGTCCAGCGACTGTATCAGCACTGATAGGCTCGTTGTTGTCATGGCTGCCATGGTGTGGCGCAAATGCAGGCAAGCCAACTAGCTAATGTTAATTCATCTTCTACTTAATTTTCAGATCATTTAATTTCAGTACTTGACCACAAAATTACTTATTGGTGGTCAATTACAGCTTCACTTGGCATGGGTCTCTAGTATGCATGACCTCATTTTGACCTCATGTCGATTCTGATTAGCTCTTGTCTCATTTCACATTTATTTACATTAAATACATTACTGTATTAGGGCCAGAACAGACTGCAAGGCAGAGTATATAAGCTTCAGTGTTCACAGTTCCATCCTACACAGGAAACAGTTTAAACAGTTCTGCTCGCTAGGTCACTTCCTTTATTAGCGGTTAAACTAGCCAGGAAGTGCAGCACAGACAGACGCAGTAATTCAGCGTTTAGGTCTTTTATAGGTTAGAGATGTCTGAGAGTGTTTATGATGATGTCTGCATTGAGGAGCTCAGCAAAGAAGATAAAGTGGAGATGATGGTGGATCTTTATGAGAGTGCAGATGCTCATAGAGGAGATAAAGTGGAGCAGTTGATGGTTATCTATGAGAGTGCAGACAGTGTTGGAGGTCATGACCCCATCACAGAGACAGAGGACGTCAACGCAAAGAAAACCCTGCAAACACGGAAAAAAGGTAACCAATCTATTTACACCCATCATTTAAAAGTAGTATTGTTGTCTGGCAGCATTACTCCACTACCCCCTTTCCAAAAATGCAAAATGTAAATAAATACAGAATGCAATGATGTGCAAATCATTTAAACCCTGTATTTAATTGAAAATAGTACAAAGACAACATATAAAATGTTGAAACTGAGAAATTATTTTGTTTTTTTGAAAAAATATATGGTCATTTTAAATTTGATGCCACATGTTTCAAGATAAGTTGTGATGGGGGGCATGTTTACCACTGTGTTGCATCACCTCTTCTTTTAACAACACTCTGTAAATGTTTGGGAACTGAGGAGACCAATAGCTGGAATTCTGAAAGTGAAATATTTCCCCATCTTTGCTTGATATAGGATTTCAGCTGCTCAACAGTTTGGGGTCAAATGTTTTCAGTAGGTGACAGGTCTGGACTGCAGACAGGCTAGTTTAACACCTATACTGTTTTACTATGGAGCCTGACTGTTACATACAACATATGTTTGGCATTGTCTTGCTGAAATAATCAAGGCCTTCCCTGAAAAAGACGCCGTCTAGCTGGCAGGATATGTTGCTCCAAAACCTGTATATATCATCAGTATTAATGGTGCCTTAACAAATGTGCAAGTCACCCATGCCATCACATACCATCACAGACACAGCGTCCATGATTTCCAAAAAAACTTCAAATTTTGATTAATTGGACCACAGGACACTTTTCCACTTCGCCTCAGTCCATCTTAAATAAGCTTGGGTCCAGGGAAGGTGGTGTTTCTGGATCCTGTTTATATATGGTTACTTCTTTGCATGCAAATCTTGACTTGCATTTGTGGATGCAGCGACAGACAGTGGTTTTCAGAAGTGTTCTTGAGCCAATGCTGTAATTTCCGCTACAGACTTGTGTCTGTTTTTAATGCGCTGCCTTGTATTTACAGCTACACTGTAGACAGGAAACAGCATAAATAGCGTTCTGCTCACTTGGTCTCTTCTTTTATTAATGGATAAACTAGCCATAAAGTGCAGCACCACACTGTTTTTACAGAGAGAGACAAGCAGTAATTCAGTGTTTTAGTCTTTTATAGATTAGACATGTCTCAGAGTGTTTATGATGATGTTATCTGCATTGAGGAGCTGAACAGAGAAGATGTAACAGAGGTGGTTGTGGTTATTTATGAGAGTAGATGCTATTGGAGGTCATGATAGCAACAAAGAGACAGAGGAGACCAACACAAAGATAACCCTACGAACACAGAGAAAAGGTAACATATCACTTCGATACCCATCATTTAGAAATAGTATTGTTGTCAAAAAGTCACTGCACCACAACATACAATGTATCAAATGATTATACTGTGTGACACATTTTTAGTTCAGTGTACTGTATTTTTCTGTAGCAGACATATTTAAAACGAGTAAGGTCAGTTTATTTTGTCTGCATTCATCATTAATCAAAAACCTCACAAATGAACGGTGCAGGCCTCATGTACATCCACCTTTAAGAATAGGGCCATTCCATGTCAGCTCATCTGTATTATGTCACAGAGTTCCATGAAAATATTCAAGCAAAAACATCAATTTAATTGTTGCAAATGCATAAAATTCTAAAGCTATAAATTGCACACTATGTTTAACTACTTACAGAATGAATGAACTAGCTGAAATATTAACTGGCTATAAATATAAAACTAAGAATAATATCACTTTAATCACTTTAAATCAACTGGATTCATTGTAATAAATGTCCACAACTGATTGATCTTATAATTTATATGAATATATTTTATTAGAGCATATGCTGTTTTAGGTCAGGTTGTACAGTATTTCAAGTCTCTGCAAGTGTTTGGGAACTGAGGAGACCAATTGTTTGTAGTTTTGAAAGTTCCCAATTCTTGTTTGATACAGGATTTCAGCTGCTCAGCAGTTCAGAGTGAGTCTCCTTTGTCAAGTCAAGTGAAGTCAAAGTTTATTTATATAGTGCTTATTACAACAGGTGTTGTCACAAAGCAGCTTTACAGAAAAATCTGGGTCCAAGCCCCCATGAGTGTCACCAATGGAAAAGCTCCCTAAGAGCAAGAGGAAGAAACCAGGCAGAGCAATGGTTAATTAGATTAGTTTTAGTTTATGCAGCAGCAGCATCAGCAGGGGGTCAGTTCTTGCATGTGAGGTGCAGCCAAAAGAAATGGAGCTCTGGTGACGCTAGCAGCTCTGGTGGCTCACCAGTGGTGGCGTGTTTCACACCACTCTATCTGCCTTGGTATTGTGCTTGCATGCAGCTGCTCGGCCATGGAAACCCATGCCATGAAGCCCCCCGGCACACAGTTTTTGTGCTGATGTTAACGTTAGAGGACGTTTGGAACTCCACTTTAAACGCTAAATGCTTCCACTTTTCAATGATGCATCCTACTACAATACCTCACTCAGATTCAGATCACAAATGTTTGTAAAGGCAGACTGCATGGTTAGGTGCTTGATTTTATACATTTGTGGCAATGAGACTGAAACACATGAATCCAATGATTAAGAGGTGTGTCCTAATTCTTGTTCAAATAGTGTATATTGCTAAAAAAAAAAAAAAAGGTATTTATAGTTCAGCATTAATGGTACTTTCACAGAGTCACCCATGCCATGTGCACAACTTTAACAGAGTGGGGAATCCCTCCCCATCTTTACTTCTGAAAGATTGGAAGACTTTTTACATCTAGCAATGTTACTGACTTGATGCCAATTCACCTTATTAATTGTGAGATGTTTCACCAGGTGTTTTTTAGCACTACCTTCTGTTGCCCCCATCCCAACTTTTTTGAAACGTGTTGCTGGCATTAAGTTCAAAATGAGCATATATTTTTAAAAAAACAATACAATTTCTCAGTTTCAACATCTAATATGTTGTCTTTGGACTGTTTTCAATTAAATAGAGTCTTTAAATGATTTGCACTTTATTGCATTGTTTTTATTTTTTTTTTTTTTTTTGCACAGCATCCCAACTTTTTTGGAAATGAGTCTGTGTAAGAGACTAGTCCTTCAACATTTTTCCTAAAATAGAACTTTTGTGTCCAATGTTTCATTTTTTTAACATTCAAATATATTTGGCCTACTTGAAACAAAACTGTGTAGGACCAAGAGATGAATAGCATTACTGGGAATGCCTATAAAATATCAGGCGCATTCATGATTAAATTACACTGTTTTAATAAGAATGTGTTGTAGTGATGTCATTTTATACATTAATGTAATAAACAATATAATGTAAAAATTTTTACACATTTTAACTCGTGGTGTACCTTTAGATATGGCAGCCAGAAATGGAAAAAAATGTAGGACAACTATATAAAATCTAAATTTTGCACAAATAAATCTGAAAACTGACAAACGTCCTTGCATGAAAGGTACATGTTCCAATAAACTAACCTGTTGTGGATTTTTATTAACATGAGACCAATTAATTTAAATATTAAATTGTAGTATTATTCTTGGCATGGTATTTATAGCCATTTAATATTTCACCTCAGTTTAGGCATCCTGTAAAAACCTGATGGGTCAAAGTTTAAATTGCATAGTTACATTATTGAAATTGAAGTTTGAATTTGCTTGAATTCTTTCATGGAAATCCATGGCATGACTGTACAGGGTGTATACAAGTTGCCATGAAATGAACCAATAAATACAATAAAAAAAAACATGAGAGAAAGGAGGAAAAGAGAGAGATTTGTATCTCTTACTGTAACGGTGATGCTTTTATCAGTATTTAAACAGTGATTATTAATTATGACTGAAGCTCATGTATCTCTGTGTGTTCAGAGAGTCACACTGCAGAGAGCAGATTCTACAGACTGACTGCAGTGTGTCTGGGGCTGCTGTGTGTCCTCCTGCTGACGGCCATCATAGCACTGTGGATCAAACTTTACACCTTAATGACGTCAAAAGAGGAATTACACACCAAACTGACCATAGAGAGAGACCAGTTACAGACCAGTTACATCAACCTGACCATAGAGAGAGACCAGTTACATACAGAGAGAGATGAAATAAAGAAGAGGCTGTCTGAACTGGGTAAGAGATTTAAATTCTTTGAATAAGAATTCTTTTAAATCTTCCACTTTCACTAATTTATAAAAAAAATGCATGATTTAGTCATTAAAATGCAAACAATTTCATTCAAAGTGTTTTGAAATCCAGTTATAGAAAAACTTATATAAAAAACTAAACGAGTAAGAGGTGGTGACAGGAATCAGATATCAGAAGTGATTAATGCATGTAAAAGCTACTCCCTTTGTTCATATCCTCTCCACTTTAACCACTCAAGTTTCTTTACTACGCACTATTATATTTCACCCCAAAACTTTGATTGAATTATTGAATTATGCTGAAAAATGGGTGGAAATCCCAGTTAACTGAGTATGTTGTATGTGTCTGTGTTTCCATGGAAATGCAGAAAACAGCTCACATCTTACATTCTGTCTGAACAGAGAGAAACATTAACAATCCAGAATGGAGATACTTCAACTACAGTGTTTACTACATCTCTACTGAGAGTAAATCCTGGAACAAGAGCAGAGAGGACTGTAGAGAGAGAGGAGCAGACCTGGTGATCATCAACAGCAGAGAGGAACAGGTGAGAGAGAGAGAGAGAGAGAGAGAATGAATGCCTTTTTCAATTACAGGTCACTTTGCACCTGCAGATTTCTGAGTTTATTGTACTTTCAGTCTAAACTGCTTTTAAATGAGCACTCGAGCTTCAGACTGGGATAGAAGAATTTACAGTAATTTATCTGCTTCCTGCTCACACAACAGTGCTGATTCTAATAGAGGAAAAGTGTTACATGTGTTCATGATCAGGTGTGTATGAAGAGTGTGTGCAGCTGGAATGTATAAGCAGTTATTACACTTCAACAGGACTTTATTGAGAAGTTAAGAAGAGGTCAGGCTTGGATTGGTCTGACAGACAGTGAGACAGCGAAGGTCTGGAAATGGGTGGACGGCTCAGCACTGACCACTAAGTAAGAGACCATTGAACTGAACTGTGATCATGACGGAGTTACTGACCTCTACTGCTCACTGCTCTGATACAAACAGTGACACTCTGATTGTCTCTTTCAGGTTCTGGAGATCTGGAGAACCCAGTAGAGCAGATGAACACTGTGTAATAATTGGTGGGGGCTCTGATCCTGTAAACAACTGGGCTGATTATCCCTGTAGTTATTTGTTTGTTTGGATCTGTGAGAAGAGAATATTTGAATAGCTGCATGTTAACAGTTAAAGCAGCAGTTATTTATGTTTTTAATAACTGTCTGTGTACTAATTAGATTTGACCTGTGTTCTGATGACCTCTGTTGATTTACTGATGACAGCGTAAACAGGGATAATTCTGATGAGAAAACAAAGCCCAGTCTGTTTAAAAGACTGAACTCTTTGTAGAAGATTACAGAAGGCCGACCAACCACTGACCATCTCTGTGTGTTTTGTAATGGATTTGACCAGTTTATATTTTTGTGAAGACAAAGTAACATGTTACAGTAATGGGAAATCTTTTCCACTAACAGAGTAATATAACACGTAGTTTAAATTCTTGTAATCACCAAGTAGTAATGGAATACATAACACCGTTACATAATCAGGATACAAAAAAGTAACTGTATTCCGTTACAGTTACAATAAAAAGAGAGTAATTAGTTTACAGGTACATTAAATAAATAGGATGATAACCAGCCGGATTACATTCAAACACAAACTCATTGCCTTTTGATCAGATCCACCATTTTGTTGCCCACATGTAGATTTTAAGGATTTTTGAAGGTCAAAGGCGACAAGTTTTGCTACTATGAGAAACTTCAAAAGAAGTCTACAGACATTTTGGTAGATATGTTGTTATTTTTATTGGCATAACTAAGATCTGCAGTGTTTCCTCAAAGAATCAGGCGTTTACTCTGGTTTTACACCCCCCCCACATTCTACAGCATTTCTGATCTGGAAGTAAACTTTTTGTTTTTGTTCTTTGCTACATAAAAGTGCAGTCTGCCTTGCGATAAATCAAACTTTTGTGAATGTTAACTTGTCAGATTTTAATGCTGAAGGGATCTAATATTAACTGACAGAAAAAAAGAGCGCAGTCTGGTGTGAGGAAAAGTTTCACTGTTACACGTATGGTTTCTTTCTTCAGTAGTTTTCGAATCATAGGTACGTGGACATTATCATGATTTGTTAACTAAGACGATCAGCTCCCTCTTAGTTTTGGTGTGAAATCAATGCATTATAAGCTCATAAAACACGTTAATATCTATGAGCTGCTGAAAGGGGTTATGAGGGAGCATCTACACATTATGAGTCCAAACACGACGCACCAACATTTGGGAGCTGTGCTTTACTATCTAAACTTCTTACCTTTTTCACTGCTCACGAGCGTACGCGTCTAAACTCAGACTATTCATACTGTATCTTTATGTTTGAAATATTTCCATATATTTAGATTTCACTTCACTAAATGTGAGATCAGGGATTGTTTATGTGAAGCATAATGTCTGACTTGTGTTAAGTTAAATTCTTGTTTAAAAAGTCTTGTTCAAATTAACTACTTTTCTCATCTTTATTTAAGTATGCAACTTTAATGCAAAAGTAATGGAAAGTAAACAGATTAGGTTACTTTAATAGAGCAATTTAATAGAGGCTACAATTACATAATTTACTTGCAACAGAATACATTTTTAAAGTAACCCTCTCAGCCCTGTGGTTAATAAGGGATCTGAAAGGAAGATTCCAGGTTGATCTTTTAACTTAATAAGCAACAGATATTTTAACAAATAAGGCAAAATCTCCAAAAAGCAGTATAGTTTTTGACACCACTTGCATTTGCATGGCTGTTGAACTTAATGAACTGAATAATTTCTACAGTGATTACTTGCTTCTCTCTGTTTTAGTCTTAGAGTGTTTAGTCTCAGAGTATGACTGAGATTCAGTTTTTGCCAGGAAATAAAAGCTTAACAAAAGTAAAAGAAAGCCATCCTTGCTGTTGTGTGATTGTTGGCATTGCCATGACAACACCATCATCTCTGAAACACTCACACAGTGTGTTGTTATAGATTTTTACTTTATTTACATTGAGGAATGTTCTAACAGGTAATTAGTAATCTGTACTGTACTGTCATTATTAAAGTAGTATTAAAGTATTAAAGATAACCTGAGCAAACATAAAATACAATTTGTACACAAAACATGCATGTCAGTCATTATATGTTCCCCTCCATTTAATCCTTTGTAACTTTCAGAGTGCTTTGTTCTTTAAACAGTGTAATTTCGGATGCTACCTTTCTTGAACTACTGCTCTGTACTGAATGCAGTCCAGCAGCAGTATTGACTACCCCCAAAATGATGCTGTGGGCTGAACTTAAAAAATAAATAAAAAATAAATACACAAACAAATATTAACAGGCGTAAACATAATACAGATGTCTGTTGTTAGCGTGTTGTGTTAATGTGGGCCTGCTGCCTCCTGATTATTAAATAGAACCTTGATGGAATGCAGTAGAACCTTCAAACCTGATTATCTCAGATTTGGCTTTTCAGAGATGGTGAACTTGTCATAACTTAAAAATCTTAAATCTTATAAATTCAAAAAGCAACATATTTAAAACTCACAATAATTATGAATGTTAACAATTATTATTAATAGTTATTAACGATAATTAACTTCCAATAGTATTAAAAATAATACTTTCATTGAAGCCTGTATTTTTTAACTTGTAGAGATTAAAATTCCAACTTCAACTCTTGTGTTTGCTACATCTCTACTGAGAACATGGCTGTGACAATAACTGCATTACCGCGATACCATGGTCATGTGATGCCTACCTTGGGGTTGAGCTCATTACCATCACAGCAATTGTTTAATGATTTTTTTTGTAGTGAAAGTTACATGACTGCATATGGTGTGTGATATTAAATATAATCATAATAATCATTATTTAGTCGTCATTGACTGTCTATGCCTAAGGGATTTTGTAGAAACAAAACTTTTCTGTTTCACCTGGTGACTTCAGTTTCATGCATGAAGCGGGGACGGACAGTCCATTAAACCTATTGGGAGTTTCTTTTTTGTGTGCCTGATTATAATTATTTCTAGGCTTGAGTACTTGTGATATCTACAGATAATGTTCAATCGAATACATACACACACAATACAAAGACAGAAGTGTCACGTAAACACTTGAAGTTAGATTTTAATTGCAAGTGCTTATACCAAACACACTTCTCTCATGTCTTGAGAAACGCTAACGCTGGCGCTAGCCAGTTGACATTATTCGATTCAACAATGGCTACAAATCTTTAAAAAATTTCTTAGCTAAATGTTACATGATTTTGGCTTTGAGCCAGATCCATTTGCAGGAAAAAAGTATTCATCTTGTGAGGAAATATGCTAATCTAGGATCACATGCTGTATTTACATGTGTGTGGTAGACACATCAAAGCAAATTAGATATCCTATTTTTTTCAAAGGAGCCACAAGAAGCTGCATTCCACAGGCCGCAGTGGTGAGCAGATTCATCCGTCATGGGTTCAATTTTCCCAGATGCTTATGTTTTGGGAGCCAGGGATGCCAAATGTCTCGTTGTTACACTTGACACAAAATAAAAGAGTAGAGAGCATTCTCTTGCCTTTACCCTCCGATAATCAGTGGTGATATCCTCAAGGTACACTTTGTTAGGGAACAGAATTATAATACATTCTGTTGCAGATTACAGTCAACTCCAGACTAACACCCTTGATGTGGACGTTTTTGAGGGATCTTGGAACACTCCTTCATGAAGGACATCGCCAATTTCTTGATATTTTTGGGCCTTCACTTGTAGACTGCCCTTTTCAATGCATACCACAGGTTTCCAATTAGGTTTGATGTGTAATTAACCACGGCACGACTAAAAAGCTCAGCATATTTCTTGTGAAACAAAGTTTGTGAAGGATGCGCAAAGCCAAAAGCATCTTAACAAGCTTACAAGCTTGCATAGTTTCTGTGGTTTCGTTTTGCCTGCCGCATCTGCTCCTCTACTGCAGAAGACGCTATGACATTTGATGATAAGTTTCATGATTCTGTCTCTTGGTGCATTGTGAAGCCAGATAGGCAGGCCAAAGCTATGTACAATGAAAGGATCTTGTTGCCACCAGCTTCTCCACTCCAACCCTTCTTGTGTTTTTTTTTTGCTTTTACAAATTTGTCACAGAGGTTTTTCCACTTTTGAAGGTAAACATTTGAAACACTAGTGAGAGTTTCTACAATTTCTCTCCATGTGTTTAAAACAATCTGTGTCTTTGTAATCTCTCAGCAAAGAATCATAAAGGGTGTTGATGCCTTTGTGCCTGCTCTAAGAGCTGCTCCTCAAAGTCACACGCTTAATGTTTTCAACTGTGGAGTTCGTCCAGCTGCCATATGCCCAACACGGCAAGAAAATCCTCTTCATAATGCCTGCAGTTGTTTGTTTTCTCTGTGAAATACGACATGTTGTTATTGCCGTCATATTGGTGAACGTTGTCTCCACAAGAAATGTGCTGAGACCTTAAGATGTATGGATGAAAAACACCCATTCATAATTTCTATTAGCTAAAAAGAGAAGACCATACATTAAATTTCAAAATAAGAAAAAAAATTACAGGAACATAAAAAAGGAAACATGATTAAAAGAAATAGGCTAATATAAAGAGTCGAGGAAGTGAGAGTGAGAAAGGGTGGGGCTTGAGGTTTCTTTTCTATTTAACTCAAACTTGTTCAAAGCAGTTATTTATTATTTATTTGAAGTATTATTTATATAAATGTTGACTTAGCAAGACTACTATTCAACTGGATTTAGCAGGGAACTCCCTCATAACACCCACATGAGGCCAGCTAAATGGGGAGGATTATGTTAGACATTTGCGTTTATCGGCACGCCAGAGCAGTATAAATGCACCATCAGTCTCGCCCAAAGCCTTAAATGTTCCTGAATAGTCACTGCAATGCCCCTCATATCCAGTTGAATATATTAAAGGTGGGCGTTGGGTTTGTTTGTAGTTTAACTAATGAAACTCTTTATTTGGCTTCCTGTCTTTTTCAGCGTAACCCTCAACCAAGTCTTTAAACTTAAATGAAAGAAGTACTGTGTGGGTAACCCTACTAACAGCTATTATCTGTGGTAAACAGTAAAAAAAAATAAAAATACAAATAATAATAATAATAACAACAACAACAACAACAACATCAGTACCATTAAACAATATGAAATCCAATAGTTCAGTAGACAAACATTAGAAAATGGGTTCATTTCTTGTAGTACCAACTCTCAGTAATCCATTAAATATTTGGTTCTCAATTTCAGCACAGACAGAAGGCAAATTCTGTTATTTCAATGAAACACAAAACTTGTATTCTCACTATGTTGAAAGCTCACAATGTGTGGTACCAAGCTAATATGGACCCTTTAATATGTCTAAGCTGGCTGACAAAACAACCAACAAAACTAGCTGCAGGCCTGACCGTGGCTGGGGTGCATTGTGGCCAAAAGGAAAAGAACACTGGCCCCTTCGCTCACTGAAAAAATATAGATACCTGCAGCTGTAGTTTAAATCCAACGCTTGTGTTCCACCGCAGTTCCGCCGTCAGACAACGAGCATCAGCCATCTTTGCCCTCGTGAAGAATCCTCTATGCCGCAGCACGCGCCACTTTTTACAAACTCTCCTTCAACTCTCACTGAGGCTTTATAAATGACTTGCTGTACAGTCCAACTTAGCCAGCTAAACAAATGGAAAGACCCGAGCATCAAGCAGAAGCTCGTCACTTGAGTGAATATACAGTTAAAAAAGTACTTTAAATTGGTAACAAGATATTGGTAACAATTTAGATAGCTGACAGTAGGCTGGCTTTTTTCTTAAACATTCTCAAACACTGCTGCATTTTTTTGTTTTTGTTTATTTTTTCACACATGACGCTGATGATTACTGATTGGCTACTGGATCATAAAGACTGTGATGAGATGGTTGAAGTTATTGTTCATTTTTTAGTCTCTCTCTTTATATATTTAGATATTTTTCCTTTTAAACTGATGTGTAGTTGTGTATGTTTTATTCTTTTTTGACCTACATCATCTTTCACCCAGTTCCAAAATGATGGAAAAACCCAGTTCTAGCTCCTGTAACATAGGCTCGTAGGATAGATGGGAGATGGGCATAAGTTCTTATCTCAAGTCACGACGTCCTTCTCAAAGAACATAATACAAGCCGAAGACCTATTATTTCTAGGTGTAGGAAATATATTTTTAAGAAAAACATTCCATATTAAAAAGATGCAAATTATTTGATTAGAGGAGATAATCCCTTCAGGTTCAGATGCAAAAATGGAGCCATTGTAAACTTCTTTGTTGTTGTTTTTCATTGTGTGATTGTGTTCCCATAACCATTTCTGTGTGGATCTTTTGTGTTTGGGGGTCATTACCTCACTAAAAGGTTGATCCCCCCAGTCAACTGGCAGAGGCAGACCAATTTTAGGGTAAAGTCTCCTGGTATTTGGTGATATTGGTGAAAAACCCTTTGGGACAACTTTGTGAAGTACAACAAAAATACATGCCAAGTGGTTCAGGCAGAGGCACCCAAAAAAACTGGAAGTATGCCTGAGTCATGTTTTTCCTTCTTACTCACCAACAATCTAGAAGGTGAATCCACCTTCTCAGCAAAACTACAGGTGGACTTCTCCTTCTTCCATGGCATGTCTGATCCATGATCCATTTGCTTTTCTTCCATGCTGCCTTTGACGTGTTCGGTAGGTGATATTTTATGCACTTGTTCTCCGCAGAAGTGGGCAGCACTGCGTAATTTCCAGCCTGCAGCTCTACTAGTCTCTCCTGTCACTGAGCCAGCTGTGGTGCTGTTCATTCAAGGGTCGACCAACGCTTCACAAAGGTGATCCAATCCAAGTCAAGATAGGCATTAGTCATTGACGTCATGTGGCTCAAAAATATTAGGACTTTGAGTGCGACTACCCTGGAGGATCATGTTTTTAGCCATGGAAGCAGCAGAAGCTACGGTACACAACTGCAAACCAGACAAGAGGAGAGTTGAGGCATAGCTAGCATAAGCTAACAGAGAAGTAGTAGCCTGCTAGCTCTGTTCTGAAAGAGGCCGCTCTGGCTAGCGCATCATCCAGAGACACAATGTGTTCACTTTGCCTGAAGTCGGGTGAGCATGGCTACTTAAAAACACTGCATAGCTTAGCTGAGGTTAGCAAAACTAGCACTGTTTAGCGCTCTGGTGAAATGAGGTGTCTGTTTGGCCTACTCTCTTAGTCTGCAGCTGGCATAGCTAAAGATCCATCCACTTGGTAAGAACTGCCCTGGTGGTCAGAAGATACAAAACATAATTAGCAATACTTTTAACAGAACCTCATTAAAAACACAAACTAAATCAGTTTCAGCTGATTTAAAAATGTAACCAGTTAATAAACAGCAGGTATTTTAATAATGTAGTAGAAGCACAGAAAAACCTCCTTAACTGCTGTACCATTTTGGTTTTTTTTCCATGTGGTCTGCCACCTTCCCAAAAACATTGGATCAAACCTGGCCACTCTATTGTAAACATTCTTGCTATGCCTCTGTTCTTGCTCACAATTTTATTATTATACTGTGATTTTCTGTGCAAAAAAAGAGAAAAAGTTCATTAAACGACCCTGTGACATTGTGAAGTCGTCTCAGAACGAGGAGAGTGGAAGCAGGGTAGAGAGACAGACTTTCTTTTATTTTGACAGACTAAAAAAGAGAATAAAAACAGTTCCGCTTTTCAGCTCTGATAACTCGAATTCTTGGCTCAGTCTTTAGGTTTTCTTCCTGTGCCTCTATTGGTCTCCTTCTCTCTCTGTGCTTTCCTCCCTACTGAAAAAAAACTATAAATAGGCTGGTAGAGACGACAATTAGGTGAAGTGTATCAGCTACTTTGCCCGCTGTTTCACTGTGACTTTCACTGATACTTAGACATAAAATAAAAAAAAAAGAAAGTCTGTTACATCATAGAGAATGAACAGAAGAAACAATCTACTGCATGCAATAAAGAAGAAAATTAAAATTTTGTTTACTATGATTGAAGATCTGCTGTGGCAATATTACTTTAGTTTGGACTGAAAATTGTCTCAGGGTAGACAGACCATCAGTGTTTGCTTAAGACACAGCTGTGCAGTAGTGATGAGCCTTCTGGCTCTTCTCAGCGAGTCAGATCCACTGGCTCAATAAGTAAGTAGAAGTTACCCTTTATTAATCCCACAATGGGGAAATTCACCTCTGCATTTAATCCATCGGTGCTGTGAAACATACATACTAGTGAACACACACTAGGGGGCAGTAAGCATGCTTGCCCAGAGCGGTGGCCAGCCCCATCCACAGTACCCAGGGAGCCATTGGGGGATCAAACTGGCAACCGTCTAGTCAAAGAATTACATGAAAACGAAACCAGAAACACACCATCACAACAGGCAGACGGTTTGGAGAAAATTAGGGGCAGAGCTAGAATGTTCCAAGGACATCCAAAACAGGGGTTTAGTTCACAAACTACACATCACTACTCCACAGGTGCACAGTTTATATTCTGGAGGTGAACTCCTCCTGTGAAACTCTGTAACACAGTCAGGTGTATAAATATTTGGACATTTGAAGTTTGTTATTTCAGCTGTCTTCCACAGCATATTGGATTTGAATAACTAATGAATGAGCTCAAAATGCAGATTTTCAGCTTTTATAGATAGATAGACAGATATATAGATAGATAAACAGACAGTAAGATAGACAGACAGAAATATATATAAATAGATAAAAGGTAAACAGACATATAAATAGATGTACAGAAAGATAGATAGACAGGTCTCTTTCTTCTAATGGACCAGTCGAGAGGGGCTGAAAAATTGTGCAGCAAAAGATGGGCTAGGTTCAGCAAATATAAACTTAGAGAGTGCACCTATATGGAGGTGTTTCTGATAATATGACCAATGACAGTAGATACAGTGTAAGACTACCTAATAAACTGGAAACTCAGTACCTGTTCCAGACAGTACAATACCAAGACATACTGTTACCTGCACTGGAATAAAGCTGCTTGACAGATTAATACTATGTCCTGGATGAGCCCCCAAATGTTACGACCCCAAGTTTTGTCTAGAATGCTGTGGAATCAGTAACATGTGTCATTAAAATACTGAACTGGTGATGATGGATTAAAAGCTTGAGGAACAGATGAATGGAGCTTTTGAAGCCATTTTATTAAAACCAACCACAATAAAAGTGGTGTGCTATGATGCCTAGTACCACACTAGAAGAGTCAAACTGGACGGCACTAAAGAAGAAAACAAAACAAAAACTTACCACGCTTACCTACTCTGAAACAGGAAGTACTTAGCTAACCTAAAAGAAAGAAAACAAAAGCTAACTACTTTACACTTCCCTGGCCAGTAACCAAAAGTATATATGGCAGTGCCTGCCCTTTGACCTAGGGAACTAAACAGAGTAGACTAGATCTACCTGGTGTGAATGTATAGGCACACCCCTCCTGTTTGAAACCCCAGGTGGTACAGACAATTTTGGAAAACAAAGTTAAAAGTGTGCACCAGTAAAATACCTAAAACAAAGCACACTCCCAACACAAGAGATTAAAAACAGTAACTAAAACACAGCACACATGATCAGTCCTCTCTCTTCAGCCATCTTGAAGGCCTCTTTTAAAACCTAGGCTCCTCCCCCAACACATCAGCCAGGCCTCTGATTGATTAGAGGTCCTCCTCACATGACTGATTGCAGAGCTGGTACATATGTGAAGGGAGAGACCAGGAGAGAGAGAGAGAGAGAGAGAGAGAGAGAGAGAAATATGTGCATACATTTAACACTGTGTGTATGCGTATAAAAGGGAGTCTACCTGTTTCTACCTGTTTGTTGTTTTTGTAATGTCCTCTTTGTGTTGGTCCTCCGCCTCTGTGTTAATTTCATGGCCTTCTGCAGCATCGGCACTCTCAAAGTTTTCCACCAGCAATCAAGAAAACACCTCAAATCTCTAAAAACACACTGAATTACTGCATCTCTGTCTGTAGAAACACTACAGTGCTGCACTGTCGTAACTGTTGTAGTGGTTTTAATTTAGGAAGTGGCCAAATTATTAGAAATATACTTTAACACTAAAAACTGTTTCAGAGTTGTGGTCCTTACTGTCATGCAAAAGTACATTTAAGAGATTTTATAGTGAAATCTGTGTTTAGTTTCTAGGGGTGTGATGATTCTGAAACCGAGACCAAAACCACAACACAAACATCCACAGTTTCGTGTCGCAGTTCCGGAAGATGGAACAACGATGCCCCCCACCACTCCCAACCCCAACCCACTGCCATAACTGTGTACCATGTTTTTTTCATTAAGTTAATGTTTCTTTAAACTTATGAGAATTTGTAGGTAATATTAGCGAAAGTTATTGGAACATTCCTTATTAGCTGGGACAAACAAGACTCACAAGTGAAAACAATGATTTTAGACAGGGTCCAGGGTGATGCTACCCTAGAATGGATAGTTTCCCAAGCTATTGACATTGGTTTGGCTTTCGCAAGGGCGCTGTGAGTGGGCTGAAGGAAAAGGACACCACAACAGACTGGCCCTGTTTTTTGTGGAAAAGCATGACTTTGTGTAATACAGTCACGAGTGAACTATCTTCTCTTTTTACAATGTCTCACACTTAAATGTCAACTGTTGATGTAGTTTAAGATACTTGTGTAGAGTTCTTTTGCTGGCTATCCAATAACTTTAGCTGCTCAGCCTGTCTTGCTCACTGGCTGGGTTGCTAGCTATCTCTTCCCTGATATAGGTAAACAAAGGGTAGCAGTATAGCAGCCTATCTAGAAAATCTGATGAATGTCAAAATTCAGTTGACTAAAGCACATGCCTGCATTATTTTGCATGATTGTACTAGTGTCATTCTACAATTCGCACTCTATCCATGTACCTGCTAAAATATACTCAGAGACTAATCAGATCAGGGCTGCCCAGTCCTGGTGCTGGCAATCTACCACTCTGCGGAGTTCAGCTCCAGTCCTAATCCAACACACCTAATCCAGGTTATAAAGGCCTTCAGTGGCATCTGAATATTAGAGTTAGTTGTGCTGGATCTGAACTCTCCAGGGTGGTAGATCTTCAGGATCAGGATTAGGAGATGCTGTTTCAGGCCTTGTGGCTTATTTGACGTGTCTCCTCTAATACAGCATAAAACCACAGTCAGAAACACCAGAGTAAGAAAGGGGAAGTGGACTTTTCAAGGGAAGGAAATCTCAGTTGCTTCATTCTCAACTTCCTATCCAGAGTTCATGAATAATACCACCCACACAGACATGCATTCACACGCAGACAGACAGTCACCCTGGAAGCTGCTGTAGATTAGGTACCACTTAAAAGTGTTACTGATACATCAGAGCTGGTTTTCATATCAAGATCAGGACTAGTGAGGAGGCCAGAATGGATATGAGAGAAGACCTAAATAAAATATCAGTAAGAGCTGCAGAGAAATTTCCTCATCCAGATAACAGCTTTAACGTGTATGAAGAAATGAAAGGAGGTCGTGTGGAGTGTCACATAAGAAGAAAGAACCAGAAACAGCAGAGTTCAGGTGCATATGTTCTCTCTTTCTCTCTTTTTCTCTCAAATACACACGCAAACACAAATTCTCTGATGGTTTGTCATTTACACTGAGGGTGTAACTGAATATGAATGCATTATTCAGAATGAACAGGCATGGCATTCTAAACAGTGACCAATACAAATACGTATTTGCATTCATGACTTTTTGCTTTAGAAATATGTTCATTTATAGCTGGAAGATGAGCTGAAGTTGAATCCTGTGCTGAGTGCATTTGGAAAGCATGTGATATTACATAGGGGAGGGTGGGGTATATCGAGCCAGTGGGTAAAATGAGCCATCCTTGAGTTAACAAATCCAGGAAGAAAAGCTCAATTCACACGAATTCTGACTGAGATGAGCATGCAAAGAGAGTGGTGGGGTAACCAGAGCCGAAAATGTGATTTTTCTCATGCCATGTGAAATTATAAAGGTTGAGATGTTTTCAGTCTTGCATGTTGAAAGAAACAGATAAGCGTGGGTTTTTTTACATACTAGTTTGCAGCAGTATGAGCTTCAACATGAGCTCATAAACATTGCATAACTGTGAGTGTTAGTTCAGGTGTGCAGCAGTTTTCTCAAAATAGGGGTTGTGGGGTAAACTGTGTCACTAGTCTTGGGGCAAAAATCTAATGTATACTCACTTAATCTTATTCTTCAGGGTATATTTTGGTTTGTCCATCTGAATTTACGTGACCAAATCGTAAGGCAAGTTATTCAGTAACTGCATGAAATAAATGTAAATTTTTATTTTATTTATTTTATTTTTTTTGTAAAAGTTCCCCTCAAATTAACAGAAAATGTTTTTTATGATCATACACATATTACTATATGCTTACAATTTACAGATGAAAGCCAAAAATCTTAGACGCTCTTTGTATTATTTTATTAAAAATAATTTTTACAGAGTATATCACTGAAGAGACGCCATCTGTTTATAGTTTATAGCCCAGACTTGTGGAAAAATGGGTCGACTTTCAGCTTCTTTTATTATAAGGGTTTAAAATTACATTATCCATCTATTTGACTGGAAAGAAGACAGTTACAGCTCTCATATGACCCCCACCTTTTGAATGTAGCTTATAAAATATGTTTGAAGGTATGAAGAATATGACGAAGTGCATTTACATAATTAGATTAAACACATTCATGATACTGTAGTGATATTGCAAAACACAGAGCAAGTTGGTTATTTAAGCTTTCTAAAATTGTTTATGGTGCTTGTTTTATTACACCGTTGTTTGTAGCATAGCTGACTTTTCGCCGGTTCCGTCCCCTGAGCCGACAGGACGTGACTGATATCCTTATGTAATTAATATAATTACAAGATTTATTTAACAGACATAATCCAGATTTCAAGTATTTCTATGTTGATTTCATTTGTCATAACTTATTAAAATGAATTAGAATCATTAAGACATAAAACTGCTAGACAGACAGTTCTCAGCACAACAGTGATACCAACAGCAGGTGCATGTTAGTGTGTTACACTGATACGTTTGTATATTTATTCTATATAGAACCCCTAATGTGAACAATTACTCACATACTGTGATGCTTCAGTGTTGTTGCTCTCGTTACAGCTCATGAAAAAGCTAAGAGCAGATGCTACAGGCTGGCTGCAGTGTGTCTGGGGCTGCTGTGTGTTCTCCTGATGACCGCCGTCACACTGCTGTGTGCGAAGCTTACTGCAGAGAGAAACCAGTTACAAAACACTTACACCAAACTTTCCTATTTGGGTAAGCAAACACATTTAAACCATGATGAATTAAGTTCTCATTCAAAAGAATAAAAACAAACAAAAATGAAAGAATCTGCAGATGGGCAGACGTGCAGAGAAACAAATGAGCTAGGTTGCTAACTTGGTCATGCTTGCGACGTCAACTTTCACTTGCTGTAAGTTACTCAGACTTGAAGAGAGACACTGAGGTGCTGTGTGAGCAGCACAGCCCACATCAGATTACGACCTTCCAATTTACACTGTAAGGGAGATTTTTAGTGAATTGCATTGGTTTAAATTTGCATCATATTAGTGTGTAACGGGCAACACTATATGTTTTGTTCCACATGTTACAATTCACAATAAACAACATGTAACAGTTCATTCTTTCCACCAAACTCTTGCGAAGTTGGGTGGGTTTTCAGATTTACAAATACGCTACAGTATATTGCCAAGTTTTTCAAAGGTATTCTGAGCACAGTTACAGTTCCTAGGCTATGAACGACCAGCAGGGTGAACTAATATGCTATAGCGCCACCCTGAGGCAGACCAGTGCTGTGTAGTCAGGTAAGAGAAATAAAGACAAAAGCTCACTGATTGTGAAGTGGGATAAACAATGGCCATTCCCTGAATTTGAGTGTATATGATTCCCTAACAGACAGCATAGCTTCATAACAAGTTGATTTTCAGGGACTCCCCAGAAACTTCATTTCCAGACATTCAGGGGGCCAAGTGATTAATTAGGAGGTCCCAGACCCCTTAAGACCCCCTGTATTTCACACCTTGCCAGTATACATGTTGTGCATTGGATGTTTCAGATGCTATAGCTAAGCATGAAAAATGTAGAGCAAACACAAAAATACAACATGTAGTGGCAGCAGATGAAGACTCAATTTTGGGGTTTTGGAGTCTTGCTCTAATTTGGACTCAGCCCCCTTTAAACTCAGTCTTGACCCAATCTTGACTAGTTATGATCTTGGACTTGGTGGTGGACAGTGCAGGTCTTGAATACAGCCCTATCTAGAACCAATAGGAATCAAATGCTGCCAATAAAGACTAATAAGATCTGAAATCACATAACAGTGTGTGCTCAATAATCTGCATAACAAAGTGTTTGTTGTGCATTATTACAACTAATAATGCAATTATTTGTGATTTTCAAGTAACTGCCCCAACTGTATTAACACAGGACACAATTTATAAGGCTTAGTACTATAAACATCTGCCTGTTGAAGTTTTACCTGAATCAGTTATTCATGCTAAGCTATATGTTTTCTCACCTCACTAGTATACATGAAAAACTTGGCTTTAATAATGTTCATGAATGTTCTTCATATTCTTTGAAAAGGGTTTGTTTGGCAGGTTGGCTTGTTTAGTTGCAAGACACAGTCTTGTTTTTTGAATTTAGAGAAAAGATTTTTCATACCAGTGGTCTCTAAATCTTCTGTCCATGTACTCAATGTTACTCTTTGTTTCCATCATTGCCTCATATGTGGTAGCTACATACAGAGCCAGTCCTAACCTCCCTGAGGTCCTAAAGAAAATTCTGCAAAGGAGCTCTCCTACCTCATCTGTGAGGCATGTTAATCATTTGCAATCGCCACACAGTCACACCTGACACCCCAGTGCTCTCACTACAACCCTCCCTCAGGATGCATTAGCCCTTTCAAACTGTCTCTCCTAGATTTCCTTTTATAGATTTTCAAATGTAAAATACTATGTATACTATGGCTTGGCTGAATCCTTAATTACTTAATTATTATCTACTGAGAGATGTGCCTCCATATTGCCCAGTATGCCCAGCTAATCAACATTTTAAGCCAATATTTAATCAATAGTCAATGTCAGTCCATTGCTTTCCATTTTCCATTAGTCCTGAGTTGTAACTAAACCTTGACTGAGAGACTAGATAGACACTGTCTTGTTTTAAAACGATGTGCACCAGATGGATACTTCTTTATTATCTCATCAAAATTGTAACGGAAAGCTTTGACACCAGGGGGAGGCAGGGCTCTTGTGTAATTTGCAGGGCTCTACGCACCATGCATGGTGACAGCCTACAGATGTGCTGTCACTTCTGCATTGCGGTTAATGATAACTGTGTGGTGTAAAAGGTCATATTTTTTTCTTTGTACATTTTTTTAGCAGAATATGTAGTGTTTAGAGTCAAGCCAAGATTTATTTGTATATTGCTTTTTACGACAGTTATCACAAAGCAGCTTCACAGGCAGTCCAGGTCCCCCAAACCAGCAAGCCAAGGCCAACAATGGCAAGGAAAAACTCGAATCCTTGAGCAGAACCAAGAAACAAAAGGGAGACCTATCCTCCTCTGGTCAAAGCTTAACAGCAAAACAGTAACACAGCACAAGCGATATGAATAAGAAATAAGATTTGACAGTTGATAGACAATATTGAACATAGGATAAAAGAAAAGAAACCAGCCTGTGTTTCTGGAAGTACCAGCATTTACTATGTCCTGTTTAGTTTAAACTAGCCTGTTATAGACTGTGGCTAATATCATCGTAAATTCTATTCATTAGAAAAGGCAATCCAGGAGGGTTGGAGGTATTTCAACTCTAGTCTGTATTTCATCTCCACTGAGAAGAGGAGCTGGACTGAGAGCAGACAGGACTGCACAAAGAGAGGAGCAGACCTGGTGATCATCAACAACAGAGAAGAACAGGTAAACAAAATCATAATACATTAATTAATCATTATTCATTATAACAAATTAATAATGAATAATACGTAATGTACTACAAATCCACAAACTGAATTTATATTAGCTCAAATACATGTACATAACAATATTATTACAAATATACTTCTGGACAAAATATAATTGTTCTTACTTATGTTTTTTGGGCTGGTCAGAGTCCAGATTTAAACCCTAGAGAGAATTTTTGGTCTCACATTAAACACGAACTCAGCCATATTTTCTAACTATTTGAAGCCATCAGTGCTGAGAGCAAAAGAAAAGACTCTTCTTTCTGTAAAACACAAACTATCTATCTTTATGGGTCTTGGGGGGTGCCGGAGCCTATCCTACCGGTCAATGGGTGGATGGTAGGGAACACCCTGGACAGGTCATCAGTCCATCACAGGGCAGACACACAGACATGCACACTCACACCTAGGGGCAATTTAGCATCTCCAGTTGGCCTGACTGCATGTCTTTGGACTGTGGGAAACCCACACAGACACAAGTAGAACATGCAAACTCCCCACAGAAAGAACACTGGTCGCCCGGCTAGAGAACCAAACCCAGGCCCTTCTCCCATAAGGCAACAGTGCTACCCACTGTGCCACCGTTATTAAATGGATGATTTATTGTTAAACCATTACAAGCTTTATGTTTTGCCATGTTGTGCCATTTGGGCTTGGGCCATTTGTTTTGCCCAGAAGTGTATATACAACTGTTTAAAATCATATAGTGAAGTTGTTTACCAAATCAAGCTTATATCAAATAAATCATTGTGCTCTGTCAAGTAAAAGGACTCTTAACAGAGGAAAAAAAATGAATATTTCTAAAATCTGTCCTTGTTGTTCTGTTTCACCTCAACAGGAGTTTGTGGATTCCTTGAGTAGCTGCAAAGATGCTTCGGTTTTTATTGGTCTGACTGACAGAGACTCAGAGGGGGTCTGGAAATGGGTGGATGGTTCAGCACTGACTACTGCGTAAGAGACCACTGAACTTTGGCCATGTTGCAGTCATTCACTCTTGTCCTTGATTAATAGGGTTTAAGCCATTATTTCCTGTTTTTGGTTGACCTGGTCTCACTGTGGAACAATGCTTAATTACCTCAATCCTGTAATGCAAAGTCGGGTTCTTTACATCTTTTTTTTCAGGGCAGGGATTACGATTAGGTTTTAGGTTTTGGGTTTAGGTTAAGATGAAGATTAGGGTTAGGATTAGGGCCAGGGTGAGGGTTAGGATTAGGTTTTGGCTTTAGGTAAAGATTAGGGTTAGGATTAGGGCCAGGGTGAGGGTAAGGATTAGGTTTTGGGTTTAGGTTAGCAATTAAGATTAGGGCCAGGGTGAGGGTAAGGATTAGGTTTTGGGTTTAGGTTAGCATTAAGATTAGGGCCAGGGTGAGGGTAAGGATTAGGTTTTGGGTTGAGGTTAAGATTAGGGTTAGCATTAGGGCCAGAGTGAGAGTTAGGATTAGGTTTTGGGTTGAGGTTAAAGTTAGGATTAAGGCCAGGGTGAGGGTTAGATTGTGAGTTGAGGTTAAGGTTAGGGTAAGGTTGGGTATGGTTAGGTTTTGCTTATTAGAAGTACCATATAAAGTCTACTTCACGTAATACATCAACAACACATCTACTTAATGTAAGTAATGTATCAACAGAACATCTTCAAGATATTTACCTCAATGTATTCAGATGCTGCACTACTGCTACTTCACCAATATGTTGATGATGTGTTACTGATAATCTGTTAAGAGTTTATTAATCATCTACAAAGGACCACTCAAAATAAATAGTTATCAAATGTATAAATAGTTATATGACAATAAATACAAAATAAGAAATAAAATGGAAATTGAATCTCACATGACTTAAATTACAGGGAGAACAACAATGAACAAGTTTTTGGCTTTGGAAAATTGTTCTCCCAAGTCTTGGCAATCGGGAAATAAAATGAACATTCTAACCAATATACATCAAGAACTAATTACATTTTTAAAGAAAAGTCCATCTGTTTTCATTTACAACAAACATTAGTTTTACATGCATGGAAAAAAAACTTCCTGCTCCACACCTCCCATCATCTGCACTTTCAAGAATAAGTTCAAGTGCCTTTTCCCTGGTATATCATCACTGTGATGCCATTTTAGGAAAGCAGAAATAACCCTCCGTGTGAAAAAAAAGGAATTTGTCCCCATGCCTCATCTCCGTACACTCGTGAAAAGCACTATTATTTTGAGTGCTTCCCTAATTATATATATATTATGAAAAGAATGGTCAGGACCCCCATGGACCCTCACAGGGCAGGTACTATTTGGGTGGTGGATCATTCTCAGCACTGCAGTAACACTGATGTGGTGGTGGTGTGTTAGTGTGTGTTGTGCTGGTACGAGTGGATCAGACACAGCAGTGCTGCTGGAGTTTTTAAACACCTCAGTGTCACTGCTGGACTGAGAATAGTCCACCAACCAAAAATATCCAGCCAACAGCATCTTGTGGGCAGCGTGCTGTGACCACTGATGAAGGACTAGAGGATGACCAGCACAAACTGTGCAGCAGCAGATGAGCTACAGTCTCTGACTTTACATCTACAAGGTGGACTGACAAGGCAGGAGTGTCTAATAGAGTGGACAGTGAGTGGACACAGTGTTTAAAATCTCCAGCAACACTGCCGTGTCTGATCCACCCGTACCAGCGCAACACACACTAACACACCACCACCACGTCAGTGTTACTGCAGTGCTGAGAACCACCCAAATAGTAGCTGCTCTGTGAGGGTCCATGGAGGTCCTGACCACTGAAGAACAGGGTAAAAGGGGGCTAACAAAGTATGCAGAGAAGCAAGTGGACTACAGTCTGTAATTGTAGAGTTCAAAGCTGCATAACAAAGCTTCTGAAAAGGTGATGATTGCACTGGGGCCCTCATTGAAACGGCATAATGCTACCCTTCTGGGCAAAAAAGAGTAATTCTCTAGCTTACAGCATTCCCAACATATTTGGTTTCTTATGTATGTCGCCTACAACATCATTGATCTGTGAAGGTTGAATGGGTTACATCAGAAGATTGTACCATACTGTAATGAAATGCCTGCTCCACAAAGATTTTGTTCCATATCTAACCTTTTCTTTTCACAAACCATAGTTGGTCAATTCAGTCACATTTGCAGCCAAAAGTCAGGAGATTCATTATTATTTTGATAATGTTACCTAGCTGACTTCTCTCATTCAGGAATAATGGTAAACTAGGCCTCACTGATATTGCCCAATGATTACAATGTACAATTATGTGTATGCCCTGTTATTTATGAAAATGACAATGTATGTTATCTGTGCTATTTCAGATACTGGATGAGTGGTCAACCCAATAATGGTGGATGGAAAGGCCCACAGGACTGTGTTGTAACGAGGTCTGAAGCTGGGAAAAGATGGAATGATAAACCATGCCAAGATGTCCTTTATTGGATCTGTGAGAAGAAACTCTTTTCCTGATTTCCAGGAACCGAGAATGATCACATGCATTTGGAAAAAGTTTATAAAAAGAGCAAAAGATACACTCTATGTCCAAAAATATCTAGACACCTGCTCTCCCTTATAAAAAACTCACAAATATTTCACATGTGAAGTGTGCAACAACATCTGTAAGAGCTTCCAACTTTTCCTTTAAAACCAAAGCTATTTACAGGGAGTTTGTCCTCTACTCTTCTAAGGAGGCTTTGCACTAAATCTTGGAACACTGCTACAGGGAATGGCACTCAGTACCTCAGTAGTTCTAGCTTGCAAACAGCACAATGCATGTCAACAATAGGTGTGCCTTGAATTAGAGCAGGTGTCTGGATAGTTTTGGCTTCAAAGGACCCTTAAAGAGACATATAAAGTATTAATAATAGATTTTAAAAATGTAATTTTTGTAAGTGGTGATAAATTCTAAGATGACGTCTGAAGAGCTGGCAGAAAACAGTGTATATAGTAATCTAATTTATAATGGTATGTCAGAAACTATAATTCCGTATATATATATATATATATATATGTATATATATATATATATATATATATGTGTGTATATATATATATATATATATATATATAAATTCCAGTACTGCAATATTCTGCTAGTAACAAAGCAATAGCTTAGCAGTGCATTTAATAATACACATTGGTACTGACCACTGAACGCATATTTAATATGTGGGGCCAGGCATCAGTGGCCTGGTTGCTTTAATTCAAATGTTAGCCTGTTGGCATTAATGGAGGCAAATGTCAAAGTAACTGAACACTTACCTGTTAAATTCCTGACCAATCAACAATCACCCACTTGCATTTTGTGCACTTTAACTGTTGCAGCACGAAACAGACAGAAACAAATGAAAATGATAGAATGCAACAAAAAAATCAAACACAAAAAAAGCTAACAGACTGAAAAGAGAGCAGTTAATGGTGATAAATAGGGAAACTGCAAAGAGAACTTGTATCTATGACATTTGTATACATTTGAAAATATATAGGCCTAAACATGTTGATTTTCCACTTTCACCCATTCACACCTTTAAAATAGATACAAATCTGACTGCTCAAATCAGTTCACCTCTGAGTGAATCTCCAGCAGTATAAAGCAGTGGAAGAGCTGATTTACAGTTCCCTACACTTCACCCTATCCCTCTATCTCAACAAAGATTGGGACACCCTACCCTCCTAGGTGTGAACACCCCTAATGGAGGGGCAAGGGGTGAAATGGGATTGAGCCTAGGAGTCACAAAGAGACAGGGGTCTACAATGACTGTACCATTTTCTTTTTTCAATCCACTAATTAAATAATAATTAATTTTAAACAGAATGCAGTGTACTTTGTGACTCAGTGTGGATAAAGTACAAAATTTCATGATGTATAGCTGCATAAACAAGAATGTTTGTGGATATTTTAGACTTTGAATAATTTTTTTCTCACTTATCAATCATCTAAGCTGTTTATCCTAATAATGACTCTGTTCTTTACTAGTCACAAACTGTTCATTATACAGTTTGGTTTGACAGCAAAGATACAATCCATATGGACATGGACAGGCCTTCCCTGAAAAAGACGTCATCTGGATGGCTGCATATGTTGTCAAAACATGTATATATCATTCAGCATTAATGGTGCCTTCACAGATGTGCAGGTCACCCATGCCATGCACACTAATGCACCCCATACCATCATGAATACTGGCTTTTGAGCTGTGCATTGATAACAAGCTGAGTGGTCTTTAGCCCGGAGGACACAGTGTCCATGATTTCCAAAAGGAATGTCAAATGTTGATTTGTTCGACCATAGGACACTTTTCCACTTCCCTTCAGTCCATTTTAAATGAGCTCAGACCCAGAGAAGGTAGTAGTGTTTCTGGATCCTGTTTATGTACAGTTTCGTCTTTGAGTTTTAACTTGCATTTGTGGATGCAGCAACGAACTGTGTTCACAAACAGTGTTTTTCAGAAATGTTCCTGAGCCCATGCAGTGGTTTCCACTGCAGAATCATGTCTGTTTTTAATGCAGTGCTGTCTGTGGGCCCAAAAATCACAGCCAGCAAATACTGGTTTTGGCCATGTCCCTTGCATACAGATATTTCTCCAGATTCTCAGAATCCTTTAATGTTATTATGTACTGCAGATGATGAAAAACAAAAGTTCTTTGCTATTTTATGTTGAGAAACGTTATTCTTGAATTGTTGCACTATTTGCTTCATCAGTCTTTCACAGAGTGGTGAACGCCTCCTCATCTTCCAATCCTGTTAATGACCTGTTGACAATTAATGTTTTTTTTTTTGCATTACACAACTTTACCAGCCTTTTGTTGGAATGTGTTGTTGGCGTCAAGTTCAAAACAGGCATATATTTCTCAAAAAACAATAAAATTTCTTTATTTCAACATTTGATATGCTTATACTTTTTTCAATGAAATATAGGGTTTAAATAATTTGCAGATCATTGCATTGCATTTTGCACAGCGTCCCAACTTGTTTGGAAATGGGATTGTACAGTAATTAATAATATTATAAAGCAATGAAATAAATTTCAATTCACAACAGCAAATTGTCCTGTCAGATTTATTCAAATCCCCCAATCCATCAGGAAGAGAATCTGCTAGCACTTCTGGCCTTGCTGGTTTATCTGATTCTGTGAGTTTTAAGGAGGTTGAAGTTAAAGCTGGGACGATATGGCCAAAAATGTTATCGTGATAAACAAAATTCATATCGTTCGATATCGATACATATCATGATAAATGTCAAATCATTATTTCTTTCAAGTTTGAATGTTGATTTGTCATTTTGCTGCTGAGTGGTTAATTACTGTTTTAAACTATCCTTTATGGTCAGAACATGACAGACACTCGCCACACAGTGGAACATTTCACAAATCTGGGAGAGTGAGAGAAAGTGTCTGGTTAGCTGTTTTTATCAGCTTGAAAAGCACAGCCGTAGTTTTTGTAATAGTCATAATTTAAGAAAGAAAACCGATTATTTTTAGCTGTCTGGTGACGAGCGCTCGGCTATCCCATTATAAATGCTAAACAAGTGGCCAACAACAGTGCTAAACTGTTTAGTTTCTCAACAACGTCAGCTTAATACAAACAGCAAACATTAGCTGCCTCAGTACGTCAGTGATGGATCACACCACCTTACTGCCATGACTCCTACCACACCCATATCAGAGCATATCACAGTATTCAAACTCAAGCTAGCAGACGACTGGATTTCTCTATTCTATCGTAGTAATTTGAGGGGTGAACCGCAATATAAGACAAACAGAGTCCTCCTTTTATGTATGTTTAAACTGAAAGCGGTGCTTTTTGTGTTGAGTTTGATCTACAGTATCATCAGTTCGCCATGTTGTGCGAGTTACAGAGCGCTGCTTCAAGTTAGCCAGATGCTAAAAACAGCTAGCCTGGAAAGATAGTCCTCTCCCACTTTACAATGCCTCTCAGCTTCCTCAGTTTACTTTCGTTTAAATCGGGGCCCACTTATTTCTTTCACTTTCGTTGCTTGGGAATGCACTAATACTTATATATGGCTGTTTGAGCACTGTAACAGCTTTCGTTGTGAGGAGCGGCCGGGATTTAATGCTGCTAGATCTTGTTAGGATGTATGGAAAGAGGTGAGTTTACTCTAGGACAGTATAGTTATGCTACTTGTCTAGTCACTCACACTTGATCACAGGAGAACAGATCGCCGATCGCTCAAACAGGGAATGTATAACTCCACGTTTCAGCTGTTGCTAAAGTATATTTGGCGAACCTTTTTTTACTCGTCGCCCCCCCCCCTTAATCAAAAAACTCGGAAGTGTGCCCTCTCCTGGTGACAGCACAGTAGTGTAACTTTCCTTGCAGTAGAAAACGTGTATTAAATCGATAATGTATCGAACCTTTCTTATCGCTCTATCAAGGAAAACTTGTATTGCAATAATTAGCATTAACATTTTATCGTCCAGCCCGAATTGAAGTACAGTGTAGATGTCTGACTCTGTCTACCCCTGTCCAGCTTTCTTTCCTGTGTGAGTACGCTGGTGTTTTTGTAGACCATGATGCAGAGTGAAAGTCTTGCCACATTCTGAACAGTAATATGGTTTCTCTCCTGTGTGAATGCGCTGGTGTGCTTTGAGGTGACTCTTCTGATTAAAACTCATCCCGCATTCTGAGCAGTGATATGGTTTCTCTCCTGTGTGAGTGCGCTGGTGATTTTGGAGATTACTCTGTTGTGTGAAACTCTTCCCACACTCTGAGCACTGAAAAGGTTTCTCTCCTGTGTGAATGCGTTGGTGCACATGGAGCTGAGGCTGTGTAGTAAAACATTTCCCACACTCTGAACACTGATATGGTTTCACTCCTGTATGAATGCGCTGGTGTGTCTGGAGAGAACTCTTTTGATTAAAACTCATTCCACACTCAGAGCACTGGAACGGTTTCTCCCCTGTGTGAATGCGCTGATGTGATTTGAGATTACTTTTTTGATTAAAACTCATCCCACACTCAGAGCACTGATACGGTTTTTCCCCTGTGTGAATGCGCTGGTGTGTCTGAAGGGAAGAATGCACACTAAAGCTCTTTCCACACTCAGAGCACTGATACGGTTTCTCCCCTGTGTGAATGCGCTGGTGTGTCTGAAGGGTAGAACGCACACTAAAGCTCTTTCCACACTCAGAACAGCGATACGGTTTCTCTCCTGTGTGAATGCGCTGGTGTTTTTGGAGACCAGGTCTGGTGCTAAAACTCTTTCCACACTCAGAACAGTGGTGATTCCCCTCTTTGCTGGTATTTTTCTGCATTTTTCTGTGAGGTGTGTTGGTCTGGAGAGTATCGAGTAATATTTGCTGGGTACCAGAGCTTCTTCTTGTTGCCTACTAAGTCTGTCTGGATTTCAGAAGTGTTCCTCTAGCAGGTCCATATGTGTTCATGAAGGTTCACACTAGAAGCAGGAGATGACTTGAAAAAGGATGTTATTCTTCCTGCAGGAGAAAAAGAAAATATACATATATAAAATTCAATTTCAAATACAAGAAACTTTTTTGAGTGTAAAATTTTTAGGTGTC